AAAAAAAACTTTATTCTGTAAATGGTTATGTATTCTGTTCATTAGAGCAAAATAAAATGCATAAATAAGCAAAACGACATAATTCTTTCTATTATAATAGTTAGAAGCAGTGAATTGATTTAGATTTTAGTTATAACTGATAAAATGTCGTCTGAAGATTCATTGTCGTCACATATCATAACAAACAACTCTTATCGAAATTTTTATTCTTATGACATTAGTTGAAATATGATCAAATATCACAGAAAAATATAGCAATGTGGTTACTATCACTACATATAAAGAGAAGCTTTCCTCAAACTTTCTATACAGAAATAAAGTACATCCACCAATACTTTTAGATTTATCTCAGTGGTGTAATATTTTGTATAATTAATCAAATGGATAAATATATTAATAAATGTCACTTTTTTTTTGAAAACCGTTTAACGAATATGGTGTCCCATGGCACGAGATGTCAGATTTTTAGAAGTATCTCATTCCATGGGACAAATCATGGCAGTTCATCTCATGAGACCATTTTTTTTCTTGTTCCATCTCATCTCATGCGGAACTCTGACGTACACCATTATTTGCCATAGTATTTATATGACCTTTTTTATCAATGAAGAGAGAGATGATCTTCTCTTACGCCTTTCTCTCGTAAAAATAAAGGAAATATATAATGTATTACGTTAAATTAATTCTTACTGTTGTACTTATCTTGTGAATTAATCTAAAGTAAAAATATACTATACACCTCAATTGAATTTCCTCTCTTCGTATTTCTTATTTTAGACTACTAGAGTTCGCTTTTTTTTTCTTTGATGATAGGTATTCTATAGATAAAAATCACATTTGTGATATGCAGAGCTGATTTTCTCTCTCGATAATGAATAAAAAGTTTGTGAAAGTAGTGATAGAAGATTTGTTGTTGTTGTGATTAGATAATGGCTTTCTTAAATGAATACCAGATTAGATTGTTTAATGGTGATATTTATTTAATATATACAATATTCGTTCAATGTAGATATAGGCAAAGGAACAGAGAATCTCGATCTACAACGTAACAATATATACATCCATTTGAAGCTGGATTTCTTTTCAGCATTTCTATTAATAATATATCATTGCTGCGTTTCATTAATTAGACAGATAGGTTTATGAGAATGAACTTATGTCCATCAATATATATAAAAACAATAGAAAGATAAAAATCATATTTACTCTTACTGCAAATCGTAGTGAAAAAAAATACCATTTTTTTTTCTGATGTTTTTTTGTTGTTGTTTGGTTTCCTTTTGCTATTTATGATTAATATATCATTCGATGCATTGAATTTAGTACTTTCTCGCTACATATACCGATCATCGAAAAAATAAGTACACGCTAATAGTCTAAAGTAAGAAATACAAAGAGAGGAAATTTCATTTGTGGTCCACTGCATATTTATTTTAAATTGACAAGTATAAAAGGTGGTTCACAGGTATTTTTTTAAACGTCGCAGTTGATTGCGCTGGATAAAGTTGAATAGATGCTGTCAATTAATATGAAAAAGCCGTCTGAAAATTTTGAACAGACAAAAAATACAAATAAATGTTTTAATCAAAAAGTGGCTCCTAGAAACATTAGATCATGAAAGCTTGGCAGTGATATCTATTAATTGTATATTATTGCATGCTAGCTGATTATAAAGTTTCGGCAATTTAATAATGTCATGTAAAAAATAGCATAGTTACAACATGTAAATGGCTATCGCATACGTCACAGTACAGATGCGACGATCGAATACCGAACATTCTCGTAGTATCTTAAACGAATATCATGTACTGCACTGTGATCATCTATTCCAGGCTGAGAATTATCGTAATTTAGCTAAATACGATCATTTACGTACCGTATAGTTTGATTTGGATAGGAAGATCTACTTTTGATGAATCAAATTAATTAGAAATATTGTTATAGGTTTGTTTCATGTTTTATTGATTCATGTATTTTATTATCGTTGATACTAAATTCAATTATTTAATATAATATTGTCAACATCCGAGATATTTTTGAGGAATTATTCATTATAATTTTCACTATTTGTTGTTCTGAAGTGAATTTACATTGAAATCAATCATTCTTCATTAATCATCATAATTATTAAGAAATTTTTCTAATTCTCCAATGTCTATTTATTTTTAAAAAAGTCATCATATTATTTTATATGACAAGAGTATACTTTACAAAAATTGGATTAAATAAGGTTTGTTATAAACGAAAATTTCTTTTATAACATTTTTTTTATCTCTTGAGAGTATCGTTTATTTCAAAAAAAAAAATTTCTCTTTTCATCAATGTCATCAACTTTATCCTTATTTTGGCTAAATTTTACCGATTATCTTGTTCATTCATATTTTTGATTCATTGATAATAAATTCCTATCTGAATTTCTAGTTACAAAAATTCATTGACTTATAGTAAATATACGAAGACTGCTCTATCAATATGTATATATTCATACACAAATATTCTTATGCTAAAATGTAATTTCCTATTAGCATTCTCTATTTACGTTTGACTAATAAGTTTCTTTTGTCATGTTCATCCTTTCAGCCATGTCGACATTTTTTAAAATTAAAGCACTATAGAAATTAATTAAAGTAAACATGGATTTGATATGTAACAGAACAATTCCAATCTTTAGGAAGAGCAACATCAATGAATATCTGAATCGAAAAATTGATTCAGTAGAATTTATTTATTTTCATTTTTTATTTTCATTTTTATTTTTAATAGCTGTAAGAGATAATACACCACCAGCTATATTCATTTATGTTGCTCTTCCTATTATTAGAATTGTTCTGTTATATATAAAAAAATCCATGTTTACTTTAATTAATGTTATTTTGAATTCAAAGCAACTACAAACATGGTACCTATATCTATTTTTCTCTATTTAGAGAAACAACAAAAAACAGGTTTAATCGTAATCGATATTGTTCTTACTGCTGGTGACTGTATATCAAGTGGTGATTTCATTTTAGATCGTGATTTTATATCAGGTGGTGATGTTATGTTAGGTGGTGGTGATGTTATGTTAGGTGGTATACGTCTTGGAATAGGTGTTTTTCCATTTATTGGTTCTTGTCATCGATTATCTCATTCATGTCGTACAAATATTGCACAACAATCATCATGAAATTGAGTATAAAATTAAAATTATATTTTATTTTTCATTATTTTATATGATCAAACCAAAAATGTTCTGAAGATGGCATTAAAAATTGTGCCGAAAATTCAACAATGTATTTTATATTTTTTATTTCATATAGCTGGTGGTGTATTATCTCTTACAGCTATTAAAAATGAAAATAAAAATGAAAATAAATAAATTCTACTGAATCAATTTTTCGATTCAGATATTCATTGATGTTGCTCTTCCTAAAGATTGGAATTGTTCTGTTACTATAGAAATTAAATAAGTGAGCTCAAGGATATCCATAAAAACAACGTATGTTCATCAGATCCAATCTTAATATATATATTAAATCATAAGTATATATAATAAGTTCATATTTTAGTTTCACAACTTCACATGTTGAGTTAATAGCAATTATATATTTTGTATTTTTCAATGAAGATTGAGTATACAAACGATGATATCTTCGTTTAATACAGTAAAAATGACTGTTAAAAATTCAATATATTATTCGTAGATTCAATGGATGATTGCAACGGTTATTTGACTGTTACACTTTACTTCCTCTTTTCTTCATATGAATTCTTCATAATATTGATTTTGACGATGTGTGTGTCTCTTTCTCTTCTCTTGTGTGCCTAGTATATAAGCATGCTTTTGTATTGCTATAGATACAAGTGAAGTAGTGAAGTAGCTTAATAAACATCATTATCGAGGGTAACGATAGAGCTATTCCTCCACTTTGTCACAATGACCTACATATATTTCCTGGTTTATTAATGTCTCGAATACTATCTGCTCACTAAGGAAATCTCTCAGCTAGTAAACAATTTTTTAGCCGAAACTATATGTTTCATGTAGAGCTTAATGATATAGGAATAATCTGGGAAGTTTGTGTCCTTAGTGTACTGCTGTATTTGATAATATGCACAGAGATAGAACTAAAGTTTATTGTAAAAGCTTAAGATCTTCTGATTGGCTCCTAAATATTGAATCTGTAGAGTTATATAAGCTTTGCAAAAGGAATGTTTCTACCATTGGATAGAAACAATGAAAAGATCTGAAATTTTTATAATAAAGTATCAAATCGAAATTCAAAAATCAGTCTTTTTGATGTTCTTGAAGGAGAACATGGCATTGACTCAAGAAGAATATTCTAAAAATGCAGTATCCCCCACAACAATAAGTTAAAGACACGAACTCTTCTCAAAGTATTCATAGATCATTAGGCAATGCATAAAGCATATAGTCTCGACTCAAAAGCAATTCATTAATTGCAGAACTTTTCTCTTCGATTAGTTTATTATAATATATTTATTTTCAAAATTATCCTAAGATATTTTAACAATTTTTTTTTTCTTTTGTTCAATTCATTTGACTAGTTGATCAACACATATCAATGATAAATTGATAATAATAAATATAAACACACAATCCATCTGACATTTTAATTATTTGACAATACAAAATATAACAAAAAAATATAATAATATCTGACTGAAGTATATGACTAGTGTTTTTTTGTTTTGATTTATCAATATTGAAAGACTTAATCGATACCGGTTGATAAAATTTCAAAATCGGACCATTGTAATGAACAACCACGAAAACTAAGATTATGTCGAAGACTAAAAAAAAACAAAACATCATATTGAATAGAATATTTTTTAATGAGGAAAAAAAAATATACCGTCGATTTGAATTTAATTCATTAATTCGAATCTGTTCATTTTGACAAATTTGTCGAATATATGGTCGATAATCAAGATAAAAAGATGAATGATCAATAATATTATTAATTTCTTGTTCTTGCATAAACAATTTGAATGTATCATACAATTCAATTCTAAAATGATATAACAATAATATATTTATAAATTATTATAATATTAAATATACCGTTTTATATTATTTTTACTGTGATTAATTAACAACAGATGTGATTTTTGATATTCCGATGTATATTTTATTGTTAAATCATCAAAAAATGTTTTAAGTAATGATTCATTCCATTGTTCACTAAGATGAGAATAATACATAGCATCGAATATACATGATGATTGCCATTTAGGTTGTGATATTATGAAATTATTCTCTTCTGACGAACATTTTTGAATATTTGTTATTGTTGATGATTGTGCAAGAAATTGAAGTGTTAATAATGTTTGACGTAAATCATATGAACAATATTTAACAAGTTTTATAAGATCATCAAATGAAGGTACTTCTAACATTTCAATTAAAAGTATTAAGCGGAGAAAACAACCAATAAGTTCCTATTAAAGAATAATAATCAAAAAACGATGTATTATTAAGTCTCATTGCTTTAAAAAAAAAAAAAGACGAAATTGAATGTTTTTTCATATCATTCAGAAAATACTTTCAGTTCTCTTAAGTTTGTCAATTTTTGTAAGACTATCTTTAGCTTAACATCAACATTATATAAAATATTTTTATATTAATTATAAAGTGCTTAGTGACCCTTAAGGTATAGATTACATATTTTATATTTATCTTCAAGATAAGGTAGATAGTTTGCGCCTATTGCGTAAAAATTTTAATGCTTTGACGACGGATGATATTTTTATAAAAAAAAAACAAAAAAAAACAATGAAAATTTCTATTTTTAATATGATGTACTTTGAAAATTATCGACGAGTCTTTGCAATGTTGTTACTAGCGATATCTATGTCAGATTACAACGTATATTGAAAAAGATCCGTTTTACTATATTTCAGCTTCACTCTCTATTTAAATTTCGAAATCGTAGATGTATGAACTTTGTTGTCAAAGGATTGATGAAGAAATTTATTTCTAAACTTATCGACCGGTTTTCTCTTTTGTTAAAACAGTATTTTCAATCAGAAAAATTGAAACTCATCCTTCACGATTCAAGGCATAATGAATATATTCTTTTTTTTCTATCTTGAAGCTCTAAATGAGAGTAAATTATTGTTTGACCAGGTTATTTGTATTTGATTCCTGCATTGAGAAAAGCTAGATTTAGTATCATGTCTGTAAAAATCCTCATAAAAAATAAATCAAAGCGCATTTCAAAGTTCTGTTCAAATAAAAACTATACACAAATGCTGGCTTTGATTTAAAACTATCCAGGTCGCATGTTTGTTCACACTACCGTCGATAACGTTTACGACTTTCAGTTTCAGAATATATTTTACTAATGAACATTTTTGTAGTATCATCTATAAAAAAAATTTATTTCATAACTGAAAGCAGTTTGAACTCTATGACCAGTACAGATGGCTCAGAGTGCATTGACAACGACTCAGTTCTGTCAGTTTTAACAAACTTCAAAAATATTCCCACGTTTTGATAGAACACTTTCAAAAAAAAAGCCGGTGGTAGTTATTACATAGGTCCTCCGCGTATTTTATGATGAAATGTTAGAGACTCTCCTTGATATCATAAATAGACTGTGAATAAATTGAAAGTTCAGTCTAATATGACGTATTAAGGTGAAATTTTTATGAAAAGTATTTCACATTTCGATTATTAATCCTTGAAAACTTCAGTTTAAATAGGTAAGTCTAATTGAGAAGTTGAAATGAAAAGAAATTAATTTACTGGTTCATTTTGTTCAAGATGAATAAGTTCATAATATGTAATTTTTGATAAATTGATAATAGCATCTTCTGGATTAATTCTACTATTCGATGTGAGTATAATAGGTTTTTTAGCTGTTTCAAGTAATTTTTTTAAACATGACCAAAAATGATCATCTATTGTTAATGTTTCAATCTAATAGGAAAAAACAAAAGTTAAAGAAATATTGTTTATTTTTATTTTGAAAATAAACCTCATCGAAAAGAATTAGAGATGTTTTTTCAACTTGAATAGATGAAACAAATTGATTATCTATTGTTATCATTGATTTTTCTTCTTGTTTGATTTTATTTCGTTTTTTTGTAATATTAGTTTCATTAGTTAATTTTTTCGATTGTTTTTTATCAGATACAATTGATTTTAATTGATTATGAGAATTATTTTCTTTTTGTTCATCATTATTATGAACAGATTTTTTTGGTTGATTAAAATAAGATATAATCGAACCACATTCACTCTTTGCTTTTTTCTTTACGGGTAATGGAGATAATACTTCTTTAATCGATTTTGATTTATCTTCTAATAAAAGAACAAAAGAAGAAAAAAAAATTTCAAATAAAAAAATTTTTTTGTTTAGAGATTTTTACCTTGTGACATAATTGTATCTGATGGACAACGTTTAAATGATAGATAATGATGATTTGTTACTTGTTCAAGTTGTTTAAGTAAAGGTGCACGTGCTCGTGATTGAGATCCATTAATTTCTGTTACCTAAGATATAGAAAAAAAAACGAATCAACAACAGTTCTATAATTTATTACTTAATATAAAGAGTATAAAAAGTTTTCATGAGATATGTACATGAGTGGAGCATAATGAATGAACGCATTTTTTGCATTTCGTATTTTCATCCGCCTACACATTTTATTAAAAAAAAAAACAAAATATACCATCTGATGTGGTATGAAAAGCTCGGCAATTCACAAACAAAAGCTTATTGATTATATGCATCCTTTTTTGTGAGATCAATTCGTTAGGCACGCTGTACTACCGGTAAACAGATGATAAAACTATGGTGGTCTTGGATTAGTTTCGGTTGGGAACACCATCTCAAGAAAATAGCTGGATTCTTTAAACATAGATTAAAGTTTTTCGAGGTCGAAGAATTCGAATCTATAGAAGATTTGTCTAAATCCTCTAGTTCGATTTTCTCGATCGAGAAAGACTTAGTTCTTATAGTTTAGTCATGTTTTAAAATTCAGTTATTTTCTTGAAATAGATATCTCTCAAATGGATAAATGTCTAGACTAGTACGCTGTTCTGCCTAAGATCGACGATCACCGTAGCATAAACTAAAAGTCTAAATATTTATAGGAAATTCTAGTATTGTTAGGTACATCTAAAAATTATATTGAAGTTGTTCTTTCCGTTGCAATCCATTGGCATGATGTGAAAAGAATTTCATGCATTTTATAAACAATCATAGATAACCATCAAACAGACGTTAAAAATTATGATTTACTGATCAATGAAATTCCTTGTATACAAAAAAAATGATCTTGTTCATATTTTGGTCATTTTGAAAACAAAAGTTGCATATATTAAATAAGCTTTTCTTTGTAATTTTTAGAGTTTTTCATGCTGTATTTTGTATTTTATTTATAATAGTTGAAATTCAAAACGTAATCATTCACATGTTATTATTCAAACTGTAGAGAATTCTTGAAATTAATTTTAATCTTACTTTAAAATTATATTCTTCAGCAAGTGCATGTACTAATGATGTTGTTCCAAAACCATGAATAAAAATTAATCGTGGATATTCTGATTTCGAATGACAAGAATTATCAAATAACCTATCTAAATATAAAAATTCAAATGTATTTTGATTTGCAAGATAATTGAAGTTTTATTAAAAAAAAAAGAACGAAAGAAAAAAATTGTTTGCTCGTTATACCCAGATATCATGTTAATCTCTCAATGATCTAGACCTTGTCGAGCATAAAATGAAAAAAAATTCATTTTTCTTTTTTTTTCTATTGGTTAATATTATATTTATTCAATCAATGAATTATGTGATTGAATATGAAAGATATATTAACCAGATATATTGTTTTTCAGATACATACTTGAATCATTCGAAAAATTTTCATCGAAATATTCATCATCATCATCTGTAAGACGTTTTCGTTTTTTTCGTAGAACTTTTTTTTTAGGTTGTTCATTATGTAATTTTTTTGTCCAATATGAAAACCATTCGTTCAAACGTTTTATTTGTCTTGTATGATTTCCAAGATATGTTTTAGAATTTTTTGGACGATAAATTTCAGTCCATAATAATTGCTCATATTGATCTATAGAAGAATATTTGTTATGAAAATACAAAAAAAAATTTCTTTGTTTTCTTTTTTTTTTTATAAATACTTTGTTCTATGACTTTTTTTCGATAATCTTGTAAATCTTTAAACATTGATGTCCAATTAATTATGGATTGATCATTGGTATATTGATTAAATAATTCCATTTGACGTTCAGTCGATGATATTTTAATAAACTTTGAAAAAGTACAAAAATGATTTCTTTTACAAATATTGTTAAATTTAAGGAAAAATAAACAGTATATTAAACATGAATAGATTTTCTTAGGGTACTACATTTAATCTTCGATATTTTTTTGAAAAACTACTCCAAAAAAAAGTTGTCCTAACCGGAACTAAAGATTATAGTTAAATATTCTATGGTTTTAGACGAATCATCTTATAAATCATTAAACAGAACATCATTTAAGAAAGAAATTCGAAAAAACTGCTAGTTGACTACTAAATAACTCAAAAAACGAGTATTGAAGAATCTTTTTAGATATGATACGAATCAATTCTAGAAAAGTTTTCTCTAGACTGGGATCAGTACAAAAGAAGTTACGGAAATTAGACTGGTGGGAAAATAGTCACCGGGATGGGAATCAGAAAAACTTGGTCCCGCACGTCTCTAGAAGAAAGTCAATATAATCGATTCAATCCGGTCGAGTTAACTACGATTAGTTTTTCATTCGTTTGGATATCTCTAATAGACTTTCTTCGATTTCTTACTATTGGAATTAGGGCTCCACATGCAGTGAAAAAGGTCATTCCGTGAAATTTCACGCTCGTCAAATATCAAAAAAAGTTTCTGAACACATCTATTGTTTCCATTAATACTACCAAATTTTATATTTCATAATTTTATCATAATCAAGCTCACATTTCGGCGAGAAAGACATCTGTTTCGAAACAATTGGACTGTTCTTAATAAAAAAAAAAGAAGATTGTTGTAAAAAAGCGTTTATCGCATGGGACAGGATTGTCCTACCCCACATGGAGTCTTGATTATAAATCCAAAAAAGTTAGTATTTCAATTAGGATAACTTAGAAAAAAAAAATACCTCAATTTTCGGTAAATGATTTTGATTATTAACTATGGTTGGACATATTCGATAAAATTCTTGACTCGCATGAGATAAATTATCATCATTGAATTTTCTTTCATTAAAACAAGGAATAATATCATTATATAATGAATTATTTAATTGACGTATATGAATAGGTAACAGACAATTAGATTGATGCTTGTCAGATTTCTGTTGTTCAGATGAAATTTTTATTTGAGATTCACATGAATGAATAACTAAACAACAACAAAAAAAAAATATTTATTTGTTGGTTTATCTTTAAATATGTTTTTTACTTGTCGGAGAATTAATTATTGGTGATGACGGACGAGATTTTTCAAAACATTGAAAAAGTGTTTTTTGTGTTAATTTCATATTTAAACAATTAATTTAATAAGAATAAAGAAAAATGAGAGAAAATTATCTTCATTGTTTGATTAGTTCATCTTACCTACCAATGATAAATTCTTATTTCTCATAGAAGAAAAAAAAATAACATTCTTTTTCTTTTAAAAATAAATAAATATTTTTAACTTAAGAATAAAATCAAATAATTTTTTTTTTCTTTTAAATATAAATAAATAAATTACTTTTGACTGTAGCGACAAAAAAAAATATTAATTTTTGTACTGAGATAAAAGAAACAAAATAAATTATTATTTGTGTATCATTTCAATAAATCTATTATCAAACATTATGATCTTCGATGGGAACGAAGTCTTCATCGTCTGATATTGTAAGTAAATAAAAAAAAAAGAATTTTGAATTTCAAGAATAAACTAACTGATTATTATTTTGAAGATCAATCTCAAATTAATTCTTGTTAGCGGTCAAACAGCTGAATTTCAATTTGGATCAGCAACAACAGCATCCGATGTAGCTAAATATGTTTTTGAAAATTGGCCTGAAGGTTTTTTGAAAAAAGAAAAAAATTTCATTTTATTATTTATTTGTTGAATTTTTATTAGACTGGGGAAATGAACAAAAAGTAGATCGTTATGAAGTTTTAAGATTAATTTATCAAGGAAGATTTTTACATGGAAATGTCACATTAGGCGCTTTACGACTTCAACAAGGTAATAAAATTTTTATAATATTTAGAAGAAAAAAAAAAAATTCTTTATTTTATCATTAGGCAAAACGACTGTGATGCATCTTGTTCAACGCGAACATCTTCCTGAATCAACAAATAATGATCAAAAACGAAAACATAAAAATGACAATAATCAAGATACTACAACAAATGCAATAACATCAACTACAAATTCTAATTCGACTACATGTTGTAGTGGATGTTCAATACTATAAATTCGGTCGAAACATTTTATGTCAGATTAATATATCTTGACAGTATTATCTAAACATTCTATTTTGCAAGCAAGAAAAAAAAATTTAATATACTAAAGAACAACCGTCCGTTGTTATATTTTATATATTGCCGGTGGGTTTCCTTTCTTTTGTTGAATATATCTTGTATGAAATAATTTTAATCGTTTCTTATTTGTTTGATAAATAATATGTTTTATGTTTTGCACTTATTTTATGTTGTTGGTTCTTATTATTTATCAAACATATTTGTATACACGCACATAAACATTTTGTTTTTTAAATTATTACATTTTCTTTAGTTCAAAAAAAATAAATGAAAAATAAAAAAAACAAATAATCAATTCAAAATAATTTTCTCTTTAATATAAATACAAAAATCCTATTAGTTGATTTAGAACGTTCTTTTTTTTATTTTTATTTTTAACATTCTTTTCAGTTATTAATAGAAATATGTCATGATGATAAAAGATAAAATAGTCAAGAACAGAGACAAAGAAACGAGTCACAAGTATTGCTTACGTCAATCAAATTTTTTTCTTATCTTATTCTATTTTAATGAAGTTTCTCTAACATATGATACAAAAATTCCTAGAAAAAACTGGTTTCATTTTTCATTGGCTAACGAGTACTATAAAAAAATTAAAAATATCTATTCAGAATATACGTTAAAAGTTCTTTCCAACTATATGGTTCAAAAAAAATTCATTATATGTTGCTTTTGAGTTTGGAGCAAATCGATGAATGGCACTAAAATACACTCTGTAAGAAAAACGATTTCAAATGGGTGTAGTAGAAGAACTTGATGACTCAATATTTTTCGACTATCTCCTGAGCTTCTCATTGTATTTTGCTGCTTTTTTTTCTCATTAAATTTATCGTTTCGTCCTTCATCAGTCTGATAACGAATAGTACAAGATTACTTTAGTGAACATAATGAAAAAATATTAAAAAAAAAACAAAGATACAAGAAATGTTGGTAAAACTTGGATGTGAAAATAGTCATGGATCTATACGTGTTTGACGGAATTGTAACAGTGTCATTTTATGAAAACATATGGAATAATGACTATGCTAAACCCAGGATACTGTCAATACATAAGTACACATCAAACGCTTAATGTAACTCATCAGCTGAAAGCATAAATACGAAACATTGATCTGAAAAAATAGTTAAAGCCTTGTGATTAATTTCTCCCAATATTATCTAAATCGATGCTATAATATTTTCTGCATGCAGTGTTTTATCCAGGATTTTTTTCTCCGGAGGGGCGATTTGGAATTTCGGGGGGGGGGGCGCGGCCCCTCCCCGGGCACCCCTCTGGATAAAACACTGACTGCATGGTTTATTAACAATAGAATGAGAAATTCGATAGAGAAAAGATCAATACTATTCCATGGAATGAACACAAAATAAGTTACAAAAATTTTCGTGATAACTATTTCGAGCTGTTTTTTTATAGAATATATTTTGATGCTGGTGGAAAATTTGATCAATACTGCAAAACAAGAGATAATAGAATTATTTTTATACATATTGTGAGAAAAACTTTCAACGTAGATTCTGAATAGGTATTCTTGATTTTTTTTTCAAAGAATGCTTCAGACGATGAAAAATCAAGAACATTTGAAATAATCAAATGATTTTAAGATGAAGTAGATGAAACAAAATTGTTGCTTTTTTTTTGTCGTATGCCGTATTTTATTTATAAAGAAGATTTTTGACAATAATTATCTTAAATCTTAGACAATAAATAATATCATTTAGTCTCCAAAATATAGCAATGTGCCTTTAATCATACATCTTCTTTTGACAGACGTTGTTAGTCTATGAAAGACAGATTTTATTCAAACTTCGAAGCACCTTTATATTTTATAATATATAAGTATGACATGTTCTTCTATTTAAAATATGTATGACAGTATCTTGAATATAACAAAAAAATTGACAACACTATTTCGCTTTGATAAATAATTTACTTGATTTTTTTGAAGTCAAAAAAATTTTGAGCAAAAGTAGAAATCTATGTTGATTTTAATAGATGATAACATATTCTAGTATCTTATTTTCATTTGATTAAAAACAAGGAAATTGAATAAACCTGTAATGAATAGAATACAATGTTATTGAAACTACTTTAATTATGTTTACAAGAGACCTGATAAAAATCTGGAATTTGACACTATTTTAAGTTCTATGCAGATGTATTTATGAGATTTATTTTTTAGACAACACAGATTATTATGCTCCGTTGGAAACATTCTAATGATTTTAAAGATGGATGTTGGTCTATCGGTAAGGTAAACTGGAGTTTTGTCATTTTAATTTTTGACAATAAAAAGATTGTCGAAACTCAGATGATAAGATTCCATAGAACCTAACAGCAAAACCATTATTCAAAAACAGGATAATTTACAATCTAGAAAAATGATTTCGAAATTTCGACCTTATATTTGAAGTTCACTTTTCTCGATTTTGATTTATCTTTTACAGTAGCTTCTGTTCTTTCATATATATGATATCACCAATCTAATTGTTTCTATTGATCTATTTGAGTTTTTCATGCTTTTTCGTTTCCCAGTATATAACATCAGACGTTATAGATATCTGTTGATCACTTGAAAACTCATGGGAATATAAATGACGCAATTTTTTTACGAAGAAAACGGGTATACTATTGTTTTTTTTCTTAATTCAAACAACGATTAACGCACTATGATCTTCAGATTTTAGATAAAACCCGTTGTTCTTCTATCGTAAATTGGTGCAATAGGATCCATTAACTATTAAATATCTATCTATATAAAAATTAAGTAAATTATTAAATACTTTGTTATCAAAATAATCAGTGAATGAAATTCTATATGCTTTCAGAACTTCAATGTGTTCAAAAATCATCAATGGATAGATCGAATAACATCCGATGAATATACATAGTTTTATTTTTACAGATATTTGTATGCTTTTATTGTTCGTCTATTTCAAATATTTAAGATAAACTTTCGATCAAATTATAGATAGACTTCGAAAGAATTGTATTCGTAATTTCACTAAAAAAAAAAAGTTATTTCAAGAAAATGAAGAGTACTAATAGAACTATTGATATTACATTTCTTGATGTACTATTTGTTATGTGTATTATTCCACGAAAAAAAAAAAAGTTCTCAAGAAAATCTTAATCCAAACTACAATTTATTGATAAAATAATAATCTGCTTCACA